GAAAATAGACTATAGCAAAGCCTTTGACTGTATTGATCATGAAAAGCTATGGAGTGCTCTCAAAGACATGGGAGTGCCAATACACTTGATAGTCCTGATGAGAAAGCTATACTTGGGACAAGAGGCCATTGTCAGAACAGAATGTGGAGAAACAGAATGGTCTCCTATTGGCAAAGGAGAGAGATAAGGCTGCACCCAGCTTGTTCAACTTGCACATAGAAAACATCATATGAAGAGCAGAGCTAGACTTAGGAGTAGTGAAGCTAGGACGAAGGAACATCAACAATCTAAGATATGTGAATGACACAATACTACTAGCGGAAAACATCATGGACTTGAAACAATTACTAAGGAAGGCCAAGGAAGAAAGTACAATGACAGGCTTGCTGCTGAACATAAAGAAAACAAAAATGACCATGGACAATCTACATAAATTTAGACAATGAGGAAATTGAAATAGTTAAAAGATTTCTCATACCCTGGATCTAACATCATTCTCAATGGAGACTGCAGTCAAGAGATAAGAAAATTAGGAATGGGAAGGGCAGCCGAGAAAGAGAAAGAGAAAAAGAAGATCCTAAAGAGTAAAGATATACAAGTGAGCACTAAAGTCAGAATCGTTCAAGTATTCCCCCAGTATTCCCTATGACTATGTAAGGCTGTGAGAGCTGGACTGTGAAAAAAATGGATAAAAAGAAAACAAATCATTTGAGATATGCTGGAGAAGAGTGCTGAGGATACCATGGACAGCAAAAAAGACAGATCAAGCCTGAAATACCCCTAGAAGCCAAGATGATCAAACTGAGGCTGTCTTAATTTGGCCACATCCTGAGAAGGCAGGACTAATTAGAAAAGACAATAATGCTGGGAAAGGTTGAGGATAGAAGAAAGAGAGAAAGACCATACAACAGATAGCTAGATTAAATTAGGGAGGTCATGAGCATGAGCCATTTAAGCAGAGCAGTAGAAGACAGGGAGTCTTGGAGATGTCTCATCCATAGGGTTGCCATGAGTCAAGGCTGATTCAAGGGCAGTTAACAACAATGTGGTAGGTGTCTTTGCTGCAGAATTTTGAGCATGTTGTTGCTTGCATGGGATATTACTGCAGTGGTCCTGTAGTTACTGCAAATATTCTATCCAGAGCTAAATCTTTTATTTTTTTCAATCACAATCTCTTGTGGAAGCCCTACCAACCTCTTACAGAACCCTAGGGTTCCAGGAATCTGGGTGAAGAAACTCTGCCTATTCACTGCATCACATCCATCTCTAAAAAGGGCAATTATTTGTGGTCCCATTTTGTCACTTTGTGATTTAATTCCACTTACAAATAAATCAAAGCTTGTATGTCTAAAAACACTGGATAAAGATACTGGGTGGCATTAGATCATCATTCTCCCCTTATAGAACTCTTTTACCCATTGGTATCCTGACACATGGACATAGGTAATGATCTGCTGGTCATAGCTATAATGATGAGAGTTTTTGTATAATATTTTATTGCAATTGTTTTAAACTATGGGTGCTCTCCTCAGAAAAAAGCTGCACCTCAGTTGTGCTTTACTTCCTCAACACAATATACACCTAATTTTATTTCACTGCAAGCATCAATGTTTGGTTTTCCTCTCCATTGCTACCACAGAGAGAAATTATTTTGATTTCTGCAAGCCTTATAAAATATACAGCATTGCCATAATTCTTTCTTTATAAGGAATAGGAAGGACTCAAAATAAATGGGATGAGCATATTTACAACAAATTATATTTTCAGCTTTATTTTTATTTTTTTACAATCAATTAAGTAAGCACTTAATTATATAAAGAAAGAAAATGTGTTTTTTGGTTGCCTGGTAACAGTAGACACAAAACATATCAGGAGATTCTGCAGTCCTTTTGTTAGAAAGGTAGCAAGAAGAAGGATCAATTGTGAACTCTGGGGAGATGGGCCACCCTGATCCTCTTGTGTTAAGATGGATTCTGCCCATATTCCTTGACTACTGGGAAAGGGAATCAAAGATGAGACAGAAGTAATTAGCTTTTGTCTGTCTCCCAGGGACAAATCACACAGGATTTTGAGCTGAGGAGCAGCAGATTAAGACAAGAAATTTTAGTTATTCCCCACCAGCCATTCTTTGGCTTATAAAATCTTCCAAAGTTGTTTTCTCCACATGGAGGTCCCACCTATGTGTTTGCTCTTATAAGTATGCCTTGGGAACTCAGTGGGATCTGGAGCTGAAGAAGAGTCAACAAAGAAGAGATCATGCAGTAGCCTACTCCACCATTCACTATCAAACTCTTCCAAGCTTTTTTTTAAACAGATGTCAGCACTTATATATGCACTTGTGTCTTGTCACTCATTGAAATGTGATCCATGTGATATCCTCAGTGATCATACAAAAGATAGGCCAGTCCATGTAGCTCATTCTTCCCAGAGTACTGGTTTGAAAAAGTGTGCCGTGCCATACAAACTGAGCCATGTTGTATTTAATGACCTTGAAAAAGGCCTCGGTGCTTCTTCAAAACCCTAGGAGCCCAATGAATAGTTCATAGGTCAGGAAGACCACTCTATTCTGTGAAATTTCATTTCCAGCAAACAATTATATTGGGGTCATTCTCCAGCCTTTCATCCAACTCCCGATAGCTCATTCCTATGGAAGAAGCACAAAATAATGTTAAAACAGAATATTCAGCGCTAACCTGACCTCTATGGCAGAATTTAGGTGACATAAGAAAAGAGAGCAACCAATATGTCAAAGAGAATCAGGAATGTCCCTTGGCAGCCATTTTTGCTATTGGTTATTATACTGCTTTCATACGTTGGCTGTTATGTGATTATTTTTTCACTGCTTTACAATTATATAGTAATTTGTAGATGCAGACAGACACATACTGTCCGGACTTACAGGGACAGAGAATCAGGCCCAGCTCCACTGGGCCTGGCCTAGACTAAGGAGAACCCCCCTCCCTCCAGTCCAGGGGTAGGCAACCTTTCCCCTTTAAGGGCTGAGGGACTTCAGCTCCCAGAATCCCAGGACTATTGGTCAACATGGGACTATTGGCCAACGTGGCTGAGGCTTCTGGGAGCTGAAGTCCCTCGGCCCTTAAAGGGGAAAGGTTGCCTACCCCTGCTCCAGTCCATCTGCCATGGTCCAGACTTCAGAGAGAAGAACTGCTGGACCTGATCCCCTTTCCCCACTGCCATTCCCTTCTCCTTCCCTGAGGGCAGGGAACCTGGCTAATTAACCATTTGTAAGTCACTCTGAGAGCCTCTGTGTCTCAAGAGCGGGGTATAAATACACCATAAATAAACAAACAAATAAATACATACCTGTTTTACAGCAGATCTCATCATAGCTATGACAGCCTGTGTACAGTCGTGCTGGATGACTTCTTTCATCCCGGGCTACTTTTACTGGATACTTCTGGAGCCGCCGAATAAGGCCTTTCATCAGTCCAAATTGGATGAGCTTCCTGGAAAAAAAGAGTAGACATTCATAGACAGACTATGGAAATCAATGTTTGGATGTAACTTAGACCTTCATCTTGTTCTGTGCCTATCTTGAGCTGGATGTGTGCCAGAGAGAATTCTGAGATGACCAGTGAATGTTCCAGTCCTTCTGATTATAGTCTACAGTCAGTGGACAATGACTGCAGAGATTTTCTGAAGACTATCCTAATCATATTATTTGGGCCATCATTTTAATCCCTTGTACAACACCTTCTGTGTTGTTAACATAAAAGTGATATAATAAAATGTTGGAATAATATTTTTGTTCTAATGTCATTTATACATTATTGTAATAAAGGCTCCTGGAAATGATAGAATACTAAGGTCAAGACAAGGTGAATGGTTAACATGTCACCACCTGAGATAAAGCTAGGCAGAAGGAGAAAGGAGAGAGCACATCTGCATTACAAACATGCCCACTTTATGGCAGATTAACTGTCAAAGTTTTGACCTGGAGAATCCTAGGAATTGCAGTCTGATAAGGATGAGGAGAATTCACTGTTAAATAATGCTAATTTCCCTCACAATCTCTGAGATGAGGGCATGATTACTAAACCACTTTAAATCTGTTTTGCAAATACAGACAGCAATTCTGCAAATACAGCTATTCCGATACTAGAAATGTTACAAGACAAGGCTGATTAGCATCTACAACCTCAGGCTCCATTTTGTTTTGCGAACAGTAATCTGGAAGCTTCTTTTAGTACACAACATAATTTACCTCGAGCAATTATTTTTTGATAAAAGGCAGGATAGAAGTTCAGCAACATGCACACACATGTATGTTCATGACGATAGGAACACACAGGAAGTGCCTTATCCCAGGTCAAACTATTTTTTTTCTACCAACCTTCTGTTGTCTGCTGTGACTAGTGAGAATTTGCCATGGTCTTGGTTAGAGCTGTTTCCTATTACTGCTACCAGACCCTCTTGAACTGGGGACCTTCCAGATGGCAGAGCATGGGCTCTGTAGAACTATCTAAGTTGTAATAGTGTCACAGTTACATACCACATGTGCTCTGATCATTGCAAGGTAATTTATTAGATAGGAAACTGTGGAATTACAACAGTTATCAAAAGATCTTCTAAACAGGTAGATTAGTTCCTTCTAGCATACACATCATATACAAAGTATACACTCAAAATTATGGCCTAAGTCCAGTTGCCATCTTAGGGTAGCATTGAATCAACTGTTAAATGGTAAGTGAATGTATGTAAATCTCATTCGTTTAACAGATCTAGTGTAGTTGGGGCTTGTTGTTGTCACTATTTGCCATCCAATCTGTATGGACTTACGGCAATGCTAGGAATGAGAGATTTTCAAGAGCCCTGGTTGGGACTTTGTTACTGTTGTGTGCCTTCAAGTCATTTCTGACTTATGGCGACCCTAAGGTGAACCCATCATAGGGTTTTCTTTGGTGAATTTGTTCAGAGGGGGTTTGCCCTTGCTTTCCTCTGAGGCTGAGAGAGTGAGACACTCAACCAATGGGCTTCCACAGCTGAGCAGGGATTTGAACCCTGGTTTCCCAGTGTCCTAGTCCAACATGCAAACCACTACATCACGCTGGATCTGGCATTAGCAATTGGAGTTAGGCCTAAATGAAATAAATCACCGTTGCTTATTGGAACAACTATTTTCCAGAGATAGTGTCCATGAATTCCTAAGATAGACATAACATTTAAAAATGAAATTACTTCTCATTCACAAGTTTTGAAAACATTTCTGTTTAAGCAGAAATCTATGGGTAATACAGGTTCTTGTGAAACATTGTTTCAGATTTGATAGTTAGATAAATTACTTTGATGGTTAAATCAAAGCTGTGGGCCACCAGTTAGTCATTTCAGCTCTAGAGACATAAGATCTATTTTCTGTTCCTGATTCTGCACCATCTCCCATGCTCCCTTCCTTAAGCATGTACCCATAGCTACTGCTGCTATTACTTTTATTATTAAGGTGATAGATCATTTTGATTTTGCTTGGCTATAGTCTACTTGCCAATTGTGACAGTAAATTTTTCTCAATTAATAAATAAAAATGGAACACTAACAATAGTGGGGTAAAAAGGCAAAAGAAGCCCTTGATGGAGTTCATGAGCCCCACACCCTCTCTCCAGTTTCATAGCCTGTCTGCAGCCTTCTAAAAACAGTTGTGAAAGAGACCATTGTAAAAGGAAAGAGGCAAACCACCCCAGTGCTCCGTTAACTAATCACCGCTGAAGAATAATGCCTAAAGTGGTGGAGGGAAGAGCACTATCTGACCTTTCATCCACTCTCTGGATTTGAAGAGTATATCGGCAAATAAGATCTCTAACAGTTGTGCCAGGACTTAGGCCACAATAAAGCTGGAAAATATCTCTCAGGCTGGGTCGCTTGTTACCTATACAAAAATTAAAGTAAAATAAAATCAAGAAACATTTGGCAATCACAAAAATTGATAATCCTTTAATGAAATTTTCTCTCTTGTGCATCAGTTTGTAACTGGATGATATTTATGATCTATAAGATGCACAAAATAGACAAAAACATCCTTTATGTACAGAGTAATCTCAAAAGCTTTATTAAAAAAGGTATGTAGTAATAATGGGAGTTAAAAAATAAGCCACATAATGTTACAAACTGCTAGGTTAAGTGCAAATTATAAACTCTGCCAAATTTATTCCATAGAACTGCTAGTATTAATGATCATGCCAGCAACTAAATATATCCATTGGAATTTCAGCCAGTGGCAGATGTATGCATTTATCCGCAAGAAAACATTATTCATGCAATTATATCAGTGGTGGATTTGCAGCTCTGTTAATGCACAAATACACTAGGGTAACTCTGTAAAAATCCTTATGTAAATAACATTTTATTTTATGCTGAATTCCTAAAATATTAACAAGAAGAACAGCCAGTATGCTAGGTAGGAATAACTACAAGGTCATGAAATGCTTCCAGACGCTAAGTCCTTATTATGCTTAGGCTTAGCATGCAACCCTATGCATACTTCCCAGATATTCCCCACTGAACTCAATATGGCTTACTTCTTGTAGTACCTGGTTTTGTGACATACGAGAGACATTCGTCTTGGAGACTTTTATCGTCAACCAGGTCCTGGACTTTAGGTGTGGTGCAATACACATTGGAGTACTGAGAAAAAAGTAAAGAAATGTCAGCCAGATTCAACTGAAATCCATAATGACTGCTGGACATAGTGACGTATTCACACGGAAAAAAATGATTGTTTGACTAGAACACTGCCAGAGTAGTACACAGTGATGTACAATCTGCATAGCTGCTGGGCTGAAGGATGGCGAAGATTACATGACAAAACAGCATCTGACATCAGAATAGAGCATTAGAACTTATTTACGCAACTACTGTTAGACTTTTTCAAAAAGTATTTCTAAAAAGAAATTAACTTGGCTACCACAAATTGGGCAATGAACACCTCCTGCTGAAAAACCATTTGAAAGTAGGAGACTCCTGACGTTTATTTGCATGGTTGGCAATGCAGATGGATTAATGCACATGGGGGGTGGGGGGTAGTAATCAAGGTCAAATAAAAAAAGATTTATCAACTGCCCTGAATGCTGTAAAATTGCAGGGAATCCTTTGTATTGGAATATAGAACAACATTTTAAAATGAAACACAACTTTGAACTTTAACACACTGGGGTTTTCAACAGAATTGTTTATTTTTGGTGTGTGATGCAGAACTTGGGAATCTTGGTTTACAGAGATGTTGCCCTATGACCCAGATCCAAAACACACTACAGAAACAATCCAGTCTGAGACTGCTTTAACTGCCCTGGCTCGATGCCAGGGAATTCTGGGAACTGTAGTTTTGTGAGGCATGTAACCTTGTCTGTCAAGAGAGCTCTGGTGCCACAATAAACTACAGGATTACTTAGCTAAAGCAGTCTCATGCTAGACTCCAGAACAATAAACACTTTTGGTAACTAAAACTACCAAAGAACTATCTTTGCTGATGTATAAAAAACAATGAGACATGCGTATAGGCTCTTAAATGAAATGCTGATGAATTTATGCTTCATTCCTCAACAGCAATTAGACTGCTTCTTTCACTAAGACTATTTCTTCATTTTTCCCCTTTTAAATGTGATTTTGTTTGTACCCAAATTTTAAGCCATTAAACACGGATGGGCAGGTTTTGTGGCCGATTTCTTATTTCCTACCAGAAACCACACCAGCCCCAGAAAATGAAATCAGAAACAGCCACAGGTCTATTTCTGACCTTATAAAAACATTATTTTGAACAAAACAAAGCACTGTGGGGATACAGAAATACTTGGTTTTAAAAGAAATTGTGTTTCCTAGAAGCTTTCAGAAAGAGGAGCACAGGCACAGACTTCTAAGGATTTGCAGGCACGGGAGAACTTCTTGCCTTGAGTGCCAGCTGACATACTACCAAATTCCCTAAATGTGCTATATTACAAATGGGAATCCTTGCTTTCTTTAAATGGGAACTTGGTAGTTTAGGTGTTTAAGTAATTTCAGTTGATCTAGTTTAACAGGTTCTCTCATTCTGAAGTTTTGTTAGTAATTAAATCACAGTTAGGTAATAAGTCCAAGAAAAGAGAAATTAACTTCACAACTCCTAAAACTGGTGTGTGTGTGTTTTAAACATGTATCTACAAAATGATTTCTCATAACTTTGAGAGAGATGTGTGCACTGATTCAGCTGAAATATTCTGAAGTGGCATGAACTACCTTCGCTATTTTGATTTACTTGTTACTACTTGTTTTTGTAGTAATTATGTGATGATGTCAATAGATAAACTAGACATCCCACAGCTTAAAACCTCTGAGTCTCTGATCATTTTGAGCACTTACTCAGCAGACTCACCTGAAGTATTGAAACTAGAGTCACTACTCCATAGTACCTGAAAAACATGAAATTTATTAGACATTAACCAACAGACTAAACTTTATACATAAGGATAAAATAAAAAGGATGCAGGAGGCATTGGTATGAAGTGATACACAGCCCAAGATGACTGGATATCCTTTTTAGACACATACTGTAATAATTTGGTTGGGAGCGTTTCATCTCTCCACTCTTGCTGCCTTTAAAAAAGGCAGTAAAGACGGATCTCTTCCGGCAGGCCTTCCCGGAATAACATCACCTGCAATGGCGGAGTTTTACTATGCTTCTCCTACCCTGTCCTACTATATACAGATCGGCCAAGGGGCTGTATTGTATTGTGTTTTAATGTATGGTTTAATTTCTTCATAATTTAATTCTTTTTAAGGGGTGGGAGGGTTAGGGCATGGGATTTGGGTGTATTTTAACTGTTCCTTGTTTTAATATGTTGTTCGCCGCCCTGATTGCCAAGCAGAGGGGCGGCTTATAAATAAAAATTATTATTATTATTATTATTATTATTACATGCATTAGTACAAGTTATAGTCCTTACTTATAGGAAATTTGGATGCCCGGGCTTGCTGTTTGTGAAAGATCAAAACCGCATATGGCGAGTCCGTATATGATGCGGGTGCTCTGTAGCGTTAGATGGGCTGTAGAAAATATGTGTAATTTTCAAAATTATCAGAACTTAATTTCTAAGATGGGTGTTGTCTCTACATTTTGTGATGTGAAGGCTTTTCCTCCTAAACCCAGGCAAAAAGTGGATACTGAAAAGTGGGTAGGAGGGAAATGTTACATGTGTACATTGTTGTAGCAACAAGAAACAATGTGTATGAACCCAAAGTAGGCTAAAACAGATGGAATGCTAAATGCATCACACCAAGCACAGAGGGCTCCTGTATTCTTTTTTAACAGCATGCCTTCCTCCTTCCCAATTATCATCAGGATTGCAACATGCAAGGAGGAGAAATGTAACCCATTCCATCCCAGTAACAATCTTAATTGCTTTTAGCCACAGGAAAAAAAACCTACTATTTATAAATGACTTGGATGAAAGAATAGGGGGCATGCTTATCAAATTTGCAGATGACACCAAATTAGAAGGAGTAGCTAATACCTCAGAGGATCAAAATTTAAAATAAACTTAATAGATTAGAAAGCTGGGCCAAAACTAACAAAATTAATTTCAACAGGGAGAAATGTCAAGTACTACACTTAGGGTGAACAATTTAAATGCAGATACAAGATGGGGGACACCTGGCTTAACAAAACTAGGTGTGAAAGGGATCTAGGAGTCCTAGCAGATCACAAGTTAAACATGAGTCAATAGTGTGATGCGGCAACTAAAAAGGCCAACGCGATTCTAGGCTGCATCAATAGAAGTATAATGCCTACACCAGGGGTCCTCAAACTACGGCTCATGGGCCAGATGTGGCCCGTTGAGGACAATTATCCAGCCTGCCAGGTGTTTTTGCTGCTGCTGCCTGTCCTGCTTAGCAGCCGACTTGTCCCAGGCCCGCAGTGCGCATGTCCAGCCCTCCAATGGTCTGAGGGGCAGTGAACTGGCCCCCCATTTAAAAAGTTCGAGGACCCCTGGTCTACACCAAGGGAAGTAATAGCGCCACTCTATTCTGCTTTGGTCAGGCCTCTCGGGGAAGACCGTGTCCCATTTTGGGCACCACAATTCAAAAAGGAT